ACGAAATTTTATTTTTCCATCTGAAGCGGCGCGACATGGGCCATCTTTTGACGAGAAAAAAACATGTCAAAAAACACCACTCTTCTGAGATATTTCACTTTTAGTACTTTGACTCCATTTTTGGAGGCCCCAATGGGGTCAAAGTGGGTAGGTGACTTCGCAATTTTTGTAGCCTCATCAATTATCTTTCCAACGGTACCAACGGTTTGGTAATTTTTCGAAAAATTTACCCTGGGTGAACTCAAAAATGTAGGCCACTTACAGGCCTAAGATTTAGGTTTTCTCATTTTCTATCGAAAACAAGACTCCAAGCAAATTTTCAGCCAATTCGGAGAGGGTCGATTTCGTGTGGAATGGTCGATATACATTTTCATGTAAGTTGTTTATTATTGAATAGTATGAAAACTGCTATGCGATAATAATCTTATGGATTATTCAAATTATAATTTGCACGATAACTTTGTCGACTGTAATTCTTGGGACTTTGATTTCAACTCCGATTTCTTTTGCACAATTTTCAGCGATGGAAAATAGCTCGTGGAACTTGACGTTTGTATTTTCACGCATTTTGTTCAGCAGAAAATTCAGGCTGTCAGCCATATTCATAGCTGATGCTAAGTCTAATATCTATTTTTAGTTTGCAAAAAACGGACAGTGTTTCAGCTAGAGAAAAATACTTCAATAATCACAATCGTTGCAACGATGAATCCCCCATCTTTCATACATTTGTTGGTATATGAAGGCTTTTTGAACGATTCATCATTGCCAGATTCATATGTGAATGGGTAAAAGGAATGATGAAACGTAATTTATTTGTAAAATGAAGTGTCCCACAAAAATATTGTTTGATAAAAGTTTGTATGAAAATCTTATTCAGACAATATTTTCGTGGGTCTCTTTTACTGTGCCGGTATTCTAAGAATTCCACCAAAATCGTTCGGAATTATTTTTTTCGTACATAAGACTATATTTGAGTGAAAGAGAGAGATTCCACTATTTTTCAGCGTCCCACCGGAATTATTTCGATAACTCAAGGAAGAGTGGATTGTGTGAGAAATAATTCCGGTGGGACGCTGAAAAATAGTGGAATCTCTCTCTTTCACTCCAATATGGTCTTATGTACGAAAAATAAAACGAATTACATTGGTAATCCCGAACTTTTCCGTACCGTTGGCCTGCGTTGTCTGTAGGTACTTTTGGTTATTTTTTGTGAATTTTCTTGAAATAAAGGCAGTGAAAAGCCAATCGGAGTCGATTTACAGGTACCTCCCATACAAAAGTGTCAATTTTTTGAGGTTTTTCTTAGGGCAAGTACCCCAGGATCAGATCAAAAATGGCTCATCTTCGAACTTAAACTAAGTTTTTCGAATACAAAACTTTTGACATTTCAAGATTTTGATTATCTCAATTATTTTTTGAGTTATCGTGTTAACAAACACCAACGACAACGACAACGACGACGGCACACGAACGGAAAAGTGTCTCAAAAGTTTTCTACGCGTTTCATGAGTTTTTATGATGATCTAAACCAATTTTGCGAAAAAAGTTTTCGGGACCAATTCCTATACTTTCCCTTGACACGTTGTGTACGGAAAAGTAAAAAAAAAATAATTCCGAACCATTTTGGTGGAATTCTTAGAATTCCAGCCCTGTTTTTTTTCAGGGACACTTCAATTTACAAATAAATTACGTTTCATTATTCCTCTTACCCATTCATATATCTTCTAATGCGTTGAGAATTAGCGTAAAAAGATCTTTGAAAGTGATTATTGAGTTAAACCGTTTTCGTTTGATTTCACGCGGTATTGCACTGATCGGAAGAAATTAATACAGTCTGTACAATCCACAGCCAAAGACTGCATATTTGCTTCTGAGCAGGCCTGAGCTGAGCTGAATAGGCTAACTCAGGAGACTGGAGCGGTATTTTAACGCACTTAATTTAACGGCAAAATTGTCATTGGTAGCTGGCACCCATGTAGTTTATCAATTATATTAAGATGGGTGCCAGCTAGCAATTACAATTTTGCCGTTAAATTAAGTGCGTTAAAATACCGCTCCAGTCTCCTGAGTTAGCCTATTCAGCTCAGCTCAGCTCAGCTCAGCTCATGCCTGCTCAAATTAGAGTGCTCTATGTTCTATATGCCCAGGTTCTCTTGAACATTGTTGAAAATCTTGACCATTATTTACTATGTTGTCAACATTCAACATTTTCAATCAGTCTAGATTGTAAAAATTTAAACACATTATTTATGTTCGGTACACACAGTGCTTGTATTCACTGTTCAAGTACTAATATTACTTGAAATTAAATTATTCATGGTTATCAGCTGAGGAACATAATGACAAAAAACATTAAAAAAATTTCTTCAAACTTTTAGAAATTTGATTCGAAAATCCAAATATGATTGTGAATCTGTTATTTCAGCCGTGAGAAACCTACAAAACCGAAAAAAACAAGAAAACAAAATAAAGTAGGACAGACAGACTAACACTCACTTTTTTATATAGAGATGATACCAAAGCAAACGACAGCTGTTGTTGGAATTCGCTGTTGAACAGCATCGACTCGACAGACAGCAAATTCAATGTTCTGCAATATTTGTTCTTAATACCTTATTAACAGGTGGTGCGTCAATCCATTTTCACATGCTATCGACTGAATCTCGAAAATATTTCAATAATGCGATTTCTATGAGTGGCGTAGTGGATAATTATTGGGCATTATCTGAAAGCAACAATCATTTAGAAATCGCTCATAAAATAGCCAATGATTTTGATGGACCAAAAAATAGTACTGACGAATTGATAGCATTTTTAAAAACGATTCCCGCAGATGAGTTCATTTCATATAGCCATCTGATTACGTCGACACGATTAATTGATATTCCATTCAAGCCAATCATTGAAAGTAAGGAAACGTTTTAAATGTTGCATTTTTAAATTGAATCAAATTTTCTCGTCAAAACTATGAAATGCATGAATTCAAAATTCGTTTCATCCACTTGATTGATACAGGAAGTGATGCAATAGAACCTTTTATGATTGAATCGTTGGAAATAATGTATGATACAACAACATTTGACTTTGATGTATTGTTCACCATGGTTTCTAAGGTTTGCACTATTTCAATTGGCAATTTCATAAAAACGATCTTTTTTTGAACAGTTTTTTGATAAATTTTTTCACTGTTTTTCTTATGCTAAAGTATGATTGATATCGTTTAAAAAATGTAACAGGAATTATTGGGATATCTCTTTCTCTTTCCGCCATTGAAAAATCTTCTCGCTGATTTTAACTTTCCATTGCCATTTAGAGGGCTTGATATCTCTCCAAATTCTGAGGTAAGTCAAAAAAACGTTATTCATGGTATGGAACACATTTCAATAATCATTGTCAATAGGAACATCATCAATTAATGAGCATTATTCAAAAATTCTACTTTGGCGATGGTGCAACTGAAAATCAAACCGTAAATTATGTTGATTTGTTATCTGATACCAATTTTGGATATGCAATTGATAAAATTGTAAAACTGCATGCATCAAAATCAAGAGGCAAAACGTATTATTCTTGGTAATTTTTATAAAAAGTAAGAGATATTCAAAATTTAATCGATTCAATTAGGTTTTCAGTTGATTCAAAATTGAATTTGAATAAACCACACAGTTCGGAATTGGTTAATGTGTCGGCCGCATCTCATGAGGATGAATTATTCTATTTATTCCGGTAAGTAAATCAATTATATGTATGTGTTGCTGATAAAATAACAATAGGAACATAGACAATTTTTAATCCCAGCAACATACACCCGTCAAAAATTTAGACTCGTTTATAAAATGCATTGCTTGAAATAATGAATCACAGATAATTTTTTGAAATTCCATACGTCGCTGGTCTTTCTGATTCGCGGCCATTTTGCCAAGATATTGCCGTTTAAAAAAAAATTCGGCCAAAACATTGAAACGGCCATATCTTGGCCAACTGGCTGCCGTTTTGAAGATTTTATACCACGAAGAAAATGTACTTTTTAGGGCCTTTCCAACGATGTATATTTTGTATATTTTTGTTTCGATGTTGCATTTTCCATCGATTTTGGCTCACATTCTTGAAAAGCCAGAAATGAGCGGAGGCCAGCCAAGTTGTCTGCTAAAATTCTTTTATTGGAACCAAACTTGGATGAGCTTCCAAATTTCGAACCGAATTTGAGTTGAAGTTCTTCTACGACAAAAACACATAGAAATACTGCAATTTGATGTGAGTCCAAACTTTTGACGAGTAGTGGATATTCCCTTCGAATCTAAAGTGTTTCAATTACAAATTTTTAGACGTGGTCAAGCTCAACCTATTTTAAGTGAAATTATAAACAATAGCCTTGATAAAGAGTCAAAAGTATGTCTTCAAACCATTGATTACATCACGAAAATTATTTCGAATTTTGTTAAATATGGGTGAGTTGAGTGAATGCGATAATTCCAAATGAAATGACATTTATTGAAATATTTTTTTACCAGTGAACCATCGTATCAAAATGATCTGATCAGAAGTTTTCAACCGGTTCAAAATGGCAGTGTTCATTTTCTCGATATCAACAACGACGGATTGAAAATTGGCTTGAGACCGAATGAAAAAGCATTCGACTTTTGGGCGTATATTGAACAACAAGCGAGACAGATCTCCACAAATATGAAGAAAAATTAGCAGAAAAAATGTCTATTTTTTACAAATTGTCAATTGAGTAGTTTGGAGCTAAAATGTCATACAGAAATGTTGCGCGGAAAAATTTTACTAATAGAGAAGCTTTTTTTCTCGTCAAATGGGGAATATTTGGTATCAAATAGAAGAGCTATTTTTGGTGTCAAAGCTAGCATAGCTGTTCTATTTGATACCAAATGACTTCCCCATTTGACAAAAAATAGCTTCTCCATTTGATAAATTCTCTGTATGTGACATTTTTCCGCGCAACATTTCTGTATGACAGTTTCACTTCAAACTACTCAATTAAGATTCCCCCTAGATTTTATTTATTTTTCATATAACAAATTTTTACCGTTTTCAACGTCGTCCAAATCCCCCGCCCATTTGGGCGAGGTTCAGGTCGGTAACGTTACAATTCGCACGCCAATTTCGCCCATATCTCCGAAAATATTAATGAAAATCCAAAATTTTAAAAGTGCATATGGTAGTGCTGCCCAAGACACACATTTCAAAGAAAAACTTTCATTTTTATCACCTATAGTATTGAACTTATGAGCGATTAAAGACGTCGGTAACGTAACAAAATTTTGGAAGCAATTTTCGAGGTTGTTCAACGTTTTTATGAAAATTAGCGAATCTACCCAGGCATAAATCTGTTGTCACTCATTATATCGTAGATGAAGGATCAAAGAAAAGATAGAAATATAGGGTGTGCACGAAAAACTGTTTTGGTGGTCTCTGTACCCAGTAGGCGTAGAATCGGTAACGTTACAAGAAAAATCGGTAGCGTTACACGTGCGATTTGAGTGATCCAAAAACCAGGATAGAAAATAAAAATCATATTTCCTCGAATTTATTATTAAAGTTCTGGCCCATTTCTACAAAAAAATGTAAAGGTTCTTATAAATTTGTAAAAGCATCGTAGAAACTTTGTGCTTTCAAAAAACGGTCGGTAACGTTACAAAAATCGAAAATTTGTAGATTTTCATATGAAAAATTTATTCAAATTGAATAAAATTTTCAGAGAATATAGGTTTCATGAAATAATTAGGCTATGCAAAAATTCATTGCGATCGAACGGGTGCACTAGACTTATTTCTGTGGCATTAGTTTCTGGCACACAAAAACTATTTTCTGGCATCGAAAATTGGAAATAATTTCGCCGAAATTATTGTAAAAAATACTTTTAATAAGAAGAAACAAATCCTGTCGCATATTCGTTACCGTCAAACGCGAACGAGAGGCTTTTTTTCGATCATAAAATGGCTTCAGTTCGCATTGTAACCACTTCCTATCGATTGCTCGGCGAGAATTGAGCGGATATGGCCTTTTGTGAATGTTTTTCAACCAGTCAATGCGTGTTTTTGGCTGCATTTTCATCTTAGAATGCGACAACTTGTACTTCGTACAAATAACGTTCATCAATGAATCGCCGATGACCAGAACTTCGTAATACGAATGTTTCCGGATATATGGCGTATGCCATTTTGTTGGTATGGTGGCCGGCTACTAGGCTGGTTGATCTAGAGCATGAAAAACATACATTGAAAAATTGTATACATGCAGGCTTGCGAAGCTTTAGCAAGTCTTCTCGTAATGCAAATTTCAGTACAAAGACGGATTTAAACGCGCCCCGATACCAGCTACAGTTTGGGCATATGCGCACTGGGATCATTGGTTGGTCGAAAGAACTACCGACATCCGTGATAACTCCTGAAAACTCAATGTATTAAAAATCATACAATTGACTCATTAATGAACTCTTTATTAAAAGAAAGCAGCAATTGCTTGCTCTACACACTCTTTACATACAGGACACTGTGGCATGAGTAGGGCTAATTAAAATATTTACGCAATAGGTCCAAAATATTTATTTAATATTTAAGAAAAAACTGCAAAAATATTTATGATAAATATTTAATTATCGTCAAAAACCATGAAATATTTACAAAGAATTTTTTTTATCAAACACATCAAACAAAATAATACAGTATTATCGGCGCGAAACACTTCTGGATGAAGCTTAACCATTCGGTTGTTGAATTCGGCTTGAGTATCTTTACTTTTTTTCAGACATTTTTAACGTTTGAAAATCAAAAATCAGAACTAATGAGTCAATTATCTGTCGTACTTTGAGTACTACTAACTATCTATCGAAATATTAAATTCAAAATGCGACTAGTGATCCAATGGCTTATCCATTATATAGTCTAAATGTGCTTACCTCAGCATAAATCTTTTATTGAACTCGCAATTTTAATCGCTTATATAGAAATACTGTGGAAGTTCTGAGAATTTTGTCTCGATCAAATTCAACACAAAAACAATTTGTCATCTGTTTTTGAGCATGTTGCACATTAGTGCAGATACAAGCGAAACATTTGATTTGTTTATCAATCCATTTTTCGTCGTTGTTATGACTTCTCTCCAGATCATTCTTTTCGTGTTGTTTCATGCACATTATAAGCAATAACCGATAAAGATTGCTTGTTTAATATGATTGAGCGAATTTTGTGATACGAAATCCATTTTCAATCTGTTTTCTTATAAATTTGTCGTTGAATTAAGAAGAAAATCTTCCAAAAATACAGAAATATTTAAAAAACAAAATAATATTTATTATTAGCGAAACCTCTCAAAATATGTAAATAAATATTTTATATTTAAATAAATATTTTAATTAGCCCTATACATTATATTCCGAGAAATGTGCAACTTTAAATGACAAACAACCATCCGACGTGTTATAATCGATGAATGTCGCGCCTTTTTCGGTTAAAGTTTTTCGCAAACTTGATTCGAATTTCATTTCAGCTATTTTAATTGGATCCTTGATGGGTTTGTATGTTTCTTTGTCATTGGGACATACGTTTTCGAACGTCACTATGGCTGGACGATTTAGCCTTCTCCTTCTTTTGGTTTCTTTTGTTTGGATTCATCTTTTGTTTCTGGATAAAGATTGACTGCTTTGAAGCGGAAGTGGACAATCTCGTCCAAGTTCAAGCCAGCCAAATCAATCGGTTCATTAAAAGAAACATAGCCATATCCTGTTCGGCCAATTGTAAAATTGTTCACAATACATTTACCATCCTTGGTCAAGAAACGGGCCAATTCATTTAGTGACGGAATTGTATAATAATCATTTCGTTGTAAAACGATGCCAGCTGGATGTGGTTCTAGTTTGATTTGTATTTGATGATGCTCTTGTACTGTTGTGTTTGGTGCTACTTTTGTATTGATTACGTTTGTAAGTACTTCAGACAAATTGCAGCAGAACTTGTCTACAGAATTTCTTAAATCTACGTTTCGCTTATTTACTATCTTGTGCACTTCTTGAATTTCAATCTCTTTTGTCGGTGGTGTGTCACTGTGAATTGAATGATGAGACGATCTGTTTGATTGATTCAAGGGAATGGATTGATTTGGAAATGTATTCGAATCGACACTTTTACGGCGGGACCGTGAACGTGAGCATATGGAATGAGATGATTGATGGTTAAAATTGATTTGTATAATGGGATTAGTTTGGAACAAATCGAACGAGAGAAAAAAAATCTGTCCGAATTAAAAAATTTAAATTACCCGAACTTCTGCTTTGGCCTCCACTTTTTGCCGACCCACTGCGGCTACGTGCAGAACCGTTTCGGCTTTGGTTGCGGCGCGATCCACTTCGACTGCGATTTGATCAAACATGTGTTTTAAGATTGCTGAGCATCTCAGCATTTCGTAAGGCACGGATATATCCGAGCATATCGACGACGCATACTGTATAATACAGTGACGTGTGTTGCTACGTGCTGCCGCAACGACTCGACCGAAGTGTGTTCAGTTGATGTGGCTGCACGCAGCAACAACATACACATTCCGGTCGAGTCGTTGCGGCTGCGCGTAGCAACGCACGCTACTGTATCCGTCGTCGATATGCTCGGATATATCCGTGCCTTACGAAATGCTGAGATGCTCAGCAATCTTAAAACACATGTTTGGATTTGATGGTACATGACTTGCGCTACGCGAGTGTGATCTCGATTCTAAGCGTACAGTGAATTGACAAGAAATTTTTTGTTTAAAATGAAAACCTCCTCGAAATGAAAATGTTTGATATATGAATTTGTATTAAAATTCACTCACTTGAACGACTTCTGCTACTGAAAACGACTTCTGCTCCGTCAAATTCTTCGAATATATCAGGGCTGCAAGTGATACGATCGGGCCGAGAATTGTTTTCTTCTGAATCGCTGCTACTATCTGTCATCTTGTCTGTACAACTTGAATCTATGCTTTCTTTTTTTTTGCATTTTTGAGGTATTTGAGTGTCTGGTGGTTCTGCGTAGTTTATTCGTTTGCGGGCACATTCCCTTTTTTGTCTGTGCATTTCACCGGCGAAGATAGATTTCTGATTTGAAAAAAAAACTATTAAAAAAAGAAGAAGAAACAATCCAAACGTTGTAATAGTTTCTTTGGTTGCAACCACTCAAATAACAACGTACAATTTAATAACAATCGATGGTGGTGATCGGTCGTCACCACATCAAATGCTGGTACAAGCCATTCGGACGTCAATGAAGCTGTGAATTCCGATGAAGGTGAGCAATCCACCGTTGCATCAGTTTCTGGTACAAATCATTCGGATGTCAATCAAGAGGAGTAAACGGTCGTCACACCAATTGCTGGTACAAGCCATTCTGATGTCAATGAAGGTGAGCAATCCACCGGATCAGTTTCTGGTGCAAGTGTCACTCCGAAAACTTCATTCCCAGTGCACATATTGAAACCTGGTCGGAAAAACTACTTTCAACGTGGTCAAATGGACAGCTATGTTTTGAAGCTCCAGCAAACAGGTATGTTTTTGGCAGGTTTTGGTGTTGTTAGTATAGAGATTGTTTTCATAACTCTACGAGTTTCTATGCACGTCTATATATTCCAAAGCTAATTCGTTTTTTCATCTTTTCAGCTCGTTCGAACAATACAGGACTGATTCGTCGTCATTCATTTCATTCGGCCTCGATGATTTCCAGACCACCACTCAGCCAGTATAATCGACACAGTCTTGACTCCATTCAACAGACCCCACTCCCCGTCAGTTCTGTGGTGTCGCAACTTGATGATCAGCCATCGGCCGTCGCAACAGTTGCTGATCCCAATGTTACGCCATGAATGCGACGAAGAAGAATTTTCATCATTCCAGACCGCGCCAGACCGTTTCAAAATTTAACATAACTCATAAAATTTTTCAGTGACTTAGAGACAAAAGCCAAAATAAGTTGAAATGTGATTTCATGTGATTTGAGGGTTGAGAAAGGCATTATTTTCATGTTCTCCCTCTTCGGCTATATTAGATTAAACCTATCAACTGTACTGAATTTTTCAGTACTATACTGATTTTTCGTCAATTTTTGACCCAAAAAATCAGTATACTGAATTCAGTAGGGGAGATGTCCCACATACGGGTCAGACTTTGAAATATTTTTTTAACTTTTGCATGAGTAAATATTTTTGCGGTCTATTTATACCGTTCGAAAGATAATGACTAAAGCTAACTTTTTCCCGAAGAGAGTTTACAAATTTGACCAAAAAATAACAAATTGTGATCGTTTCCATGAGGACCTTAATTTTTGGCATTCTGAAAAATGACACCACATACGGGTCACCTGAAAATATCCAAATAAATCGCAAAAATATGAAGCAAAACCACTAAAAATGTAGAAAGTATCAATGTTTATTTGTTTTGAAAGCCTTTAGCGGCAAGAAAGAATACAGATAATGTCAAATTTTCATAATTCTACTCATCATCGTTGTCTTCCAATTCCGAGTCACAATTTTTGCAAGTGAAATAGCTGCGATTTCCCATGTCTACACATTTCAAATGAAAGAGACGTTGGCATTTACCGTTGTATTTGATGGAATTTTGTGCGGTCAATATTTTGGGCAGCATCTGGAGACAAATTGTGCAAAAGTCAGCGTCTTCCTCAGATGAAGATTGTTTGGCTCGCTTAGCCACAGGCTTGGCTTTTGCAACTGGCTTCTTCTTTTTACTTTTTCGCACGCCCATGTCGTGAGTAAAAGTATTGTAATCACTCCAAAACCTAGGTACCCCGAAAATCCATTTTTATATCCATTTTCGACACCAAAAAGCACGATACAGTGGTTATTTTGCTATGTTAATGTGGGTGTGTCGTACCCTGCACGCTGTGCGCTGTACGCAAAAATTTGTTAGCACGATTGCTCAAATACCAGAACAGGAAACGAAATTCTGCAAGTACCAAACGTTTGTACTTCGTTAGACTTGGAAACCATTAAATTTCCAGCCACCCCAGATGTACCCTAGGATACCTAGCCTATGAAAAACCTTCAAAAAATCGAACTTTTGTTCGGGAGGTACCCAAAATAGGTTACCCAGGTGGGTTTTATCTTGTCCACCCGATTTATTTCATCAAAATAATAGGGGCCCAGGAACAACCTAGCACCCGCCAACCCACCTTTTTTCGCATCCAATCGGTATTGAATAGTGATTCTGATAGCGAATGTGATAGCGCCTCTGAAGTCTCATTTATTCTCAACAATGTGGATTTTCCCGAGTGTTCGGGAACGAACACTTTATAAACGTTCAAATATTATACAACCCTGAGATTGTCACATCGCATCGCACAACACAGCGAGGTGACATTTCTCTGCCGCCTTTTTCATTATGTTCAATAAAACCAATCAGTTAACTAAAAGCAATCCGACCGGCCGGTCAGAGTTTTCTTGTTTACTTTAAGTTCATTCTTTCAGTACTCAAACATATGGTCCTTCGACTGAATTTTTTTTTTGTTTAAAGTAGAGCATAGGCAATAGATTTAAATTCGATTAAAATAATTGCGGAAATTATTAAAATAAGAGGAATTATTCGTAATACACCATAGTATTCGGATTGTATGGAAAAAGTGAAGCCGTCACACCATAGTGTCGTGCGTTGTTGCTTGGATTTGCATTGCATGAAAAAATATAGCGGTCACACCAAAGTGTGTGAATATTGTGAAAATTGACAGCACACCAGAGTGTTGCAATTTGGTAAAGAAAAATTGAAAGACATTTTTTTTTCCGTGAAAATAAATAAAATAAAGAACATTTTTTTCGGATTTCAGATTGTTTCTCCCAACATCGTTGTGTGTGCGTGAATAGCGGTTGTCTCACCACAGAGTCAGTGCGCGGTGCACACAGTCAGTGGTTTTTTCCACTCGGTTTGCTTGTGAGCAGGCGCATAATTGCTCGAGAGCAGGCGCATATTTGCTTGAGGGTAAGCGCGCAAACGGTACTTATTGCGTCGCACACATTAAATTGAGAGCATTTTCGGGTACGTACACCACAGTACGACTGCGATTTTCTTGATTTTTCGGGCACGTACACCACAGTGCGGCCGCGACTTTTTGGATTTTTTTTAAATATTTTTTGGACTTCGTATCGTTTTCATTAGCATCATGACCAAGAGAAAAAAGTCGACAAAGAAGGGGACAGTTCATCATGTGCAAGAAGATGATGATGTTATTGAATTGCACCATACCGGCGAGATCGAACATGACGATACTAATACGTGGTTCACAAATCAAGTCGAGGCTGAGGCACAATCAAAGCCACGTCGGGGACAAAAAGAAGCAGTTTATGGTGGGATTGATACGTGTGTCATCGGATTGGAGAGAATTGTGGGCATCACAAGTGACCACAGTTTTGAAGAACTGCCGTTACTTACAATTGAAAGCCAAATCACTCTCGTAAAGATGTATCATTTGAAGGCGTTCAATCACATGGTTGATAGCACCGACAAAGCCAACGCAAAGGCATTGATTGAAATGAAAAAAGTGATGGATCGTGTTGATGCTCTGCATGAAAGTTTGATGGATGTGCTCGCCAGGAGAAAGAGAACATTGGAACTCGAAAATGCTGGTGCAATCAGTGCTGCACAAAGACAACCAGCTGCAATGGCTCACAGCTTGAGCACAGAAATCAAGGTCAAAAAGGTTGAAATAGAGAAATTCGACGGTGATGAACGAAAGTGGCCGCAATTCAAGTCCAGCTTCGAGGACTGTTTTCACAATCGAACCGATATGTCTGGTTCAACGAAATTCTATCATTTGATGAATCATTTACAGCCAGATTCTGAAGCGTACGATACCGTTAAAGGGTTGCCTCGAACCGACGAAATGTATGACGGTGCTTGGAGAGCGTTAATCGAAGCGTACGAAAACAAAAGAAGAATCGTGAACAGAATTGTGCTCTCATTCTTGGATATGCCGAGTGTTGAAACGCCGTCGCGACAAGCCTTGGTTGGATTGATAAATCAAACGAATAATTTGTTGAATTCGCTGCCGACTTATGGAATTCATGTACAGCATTGGGACCCCATTTTAGTGCCATTGTTGGTACGAAAATTGGATGGAGAGTCAATCCGTTTGTGGTCTTTGGAGCGTGACCAAAAGAAAATCGCTGAGATTCATCCACTACTCAGTTTCATTCGGAAGAGAGCGGATGGGATGGACGCTGAATTTGTGTTGAAAGTTGAAAATTCATCACATGCATACACATCGCACAAAGGCGCATCGAACGGTAATTCATCGACTTTGTCGAAGCGACATTTTAGAGGTGCTGAGTCATCGACAAGTCTGCCAGTTGGAACGAATAACGGTGCTTCGTCTAAGTACACGCATGATCCAAACAATGTGAAGAGACGACGTGGCAATTGCTATCATTGTAATGGGCAGCACCAGTTGTTCGCGTGTGAATCATTTGGTCGAATGTCGATTGAATTGAGAGAAGAGAGGTTGAACACGTTGAACATTTGCACGAAGTGCCTTCGCAGAGGTCATTCAAAGGATTCTTGCACAATTTCAAATTGCAATTGCGGTGGACCGCATAATCGTTTGCTGTGCCCACAAAAGAATAACGCAAGTAGTGTGATGTCAATGATCAATTCAGGTGCCGTGACTGACATCGATGCTACGTTGATTTCAACGCTAAGAGTCGCTGCAAGTGACAAAATTGGTAACGTTGTGAAGGTAAGAGCAATGGGAGATGGTGGATCGCACATGTGTATGATTTCTCGCCGACTTGCTCGAATGTTGAAGCTCGAACAAACCAAATTGTCCGTTCCAATGCGTGGACCCGACAACAGCAATGTGATTTCAAAAGCAATTGTTGACTTGAAAATTGCACCAACGAATGGTTTGAGTGATGGTGAATGGATTCGTGCTGGGGTTTTGGACCGCATTACATCGCCATTGCCAGTCAAACAATTCGATATCGATGATTGGGATCATATTCAAGGTTTGCCTTTAGCTGATGCAACATTCAATGAACCAGATGAGATAGACATTTTGCTCAGCGTTGAATTCATGGCGCGTATACAATGTGATGGACTGCGAAAGAACATCAACAATCCGAAATTGCCTGTCGCTAGCAAAACGAAATTTGGATGGCTGATTTATGGCGCATTGCCATAAACTCAACGGTTTGGCTCGGTTGCACATATGGCTTTTGAAGAAAGTCAAAACATCGCTAAAAGTCTGGAAATGCTTTGGAATGTCGATATCGTCAAAGAAAGAAAGCTGTTAACGGCTGAAGAAGAATTGTGTAAGCAAATTTTTGAAAAAAGTGTCACCAAGGGTAGCGATGGACATTACGTTGTTGCTATGCCATTTGTACCGAATCATCCTCAATTGGGTAATTCATTGCGTGCAGCGATTGCAATATATATATATCAAAATGAGTCGAGATTTCGGAAAAATTCTGCACTTAAAGCGAAATACATCGAGGATTTGCAACAGTTCATTGATTTGGATCACATGGAGCTCGTGCCATTTGGTGAAGTGAATAAGCCTGATTCCGAGGCTTATTACATACCGCATCATGCAGCTAGGACGAACAAATTCAGAGTTGTTCTCGATGGTTCGGTCAAAACATCGTCTGGAGTTTCTTTGAACGACATATTACTAAATGGCCCTCGTGTGCAAGAGGATTTGACGTCAATTGTTATGAGATTTCGAACTCATCGCGTCGCATTGACAACCGATATAACGAAAATGTACCGTCAAGTGCGTGTGCCGAAGGAACAACGGGATTTTTTGCGCATTGTTTGGCGTGAAAATGAGAATGAGCCATTGAAACACTATCGATTGAAAACACAGACGTATGGATTGAAATCGAGCGCTTATTGTTGCATTGAAACCTTACGTCACTGCGCTCGTGAGCATGCAAATGAATTTCCGATGGCATCGAAAGCGGTTTTGGAATCGTTTTATGCAGATGATGGCACATTGGGAGCCGATAATGACACCGAAGCAGAAGAATTGTATCGGCAACTGAATGCGATGTTGGGAAAGTGTGGTTTTCCATTAGCCAAATGGGCTTCCAACAGTAATCACATGCGATCAGTCATTGGAGCCACATCGAAGACGATTGATTTGGAATTGTTCAACGAAAATTCTGTGTTGGGAATAAAATGGTCGGTTCAAGAAGACTATTTTCGATATGAATTTTGCGATGAAATTCAGGATCATCCACCAACAAAAAGATTCTTCATAGCGTCGATAGCAAAGTTGTACGATCCAAATGGATGGATTTCGCCTGTCATTATTTTGGGAAAAATGCTCATAAGAAAGATTTGGCTCAGCAAATGTGACTGGGACACCATAGTACCAGTGGACTTGCAAAGTGAGTGGAATGAATTTCGTCGAGCATTGAAAGATTTATCAAAAGTAACCATTCCGAGATGGCTTGGAATATCGAAAGAAGCGTTTGTGGAAATTCATGGTTTTTCGGATGCATCTAAATTGGCATACGGCGTCGCTTTCTACACCAGAGTAGTAAGTGTTGATGGTCGCATAAGATGTTATTTGGTGGCATCGAAAACGAGAGTTGCCTCGTTTAAAGGAATGACTATTCCCCGTTTAGAGCTGTGTGGTGCTTTGTTGATGGCACCAATGTGTGAGCAGGTTTGTGTTGCACACAGCGTATCGTATGAAAATGTCACGTTGTGGTGTGACTCGAGCATCGTAATTCATTGGTTGTCGAAATGTCCAACCACCATGAAAACTTTTGTTGGTAACAGGATCGCCGAGATTCAAGAATTGACCAAAGGCATACAGTGGAAACATGTGCGTACGAAAGACAATCCGGCAGACTTAGCATCGAGAGGTCTAATTGCGACGAATATTGTGAACAATGCATTTTGGTTCAACGGCCCAGAATGGCTTGTGAAGGAAAAAGATGAATGGCCTGTGAGTGCATTTATCGTCGATCGCCAAGTGGAAGAAGCTACGGTTGAAGAAGCCAAACCGGTATCTGTATTGATGACCATCACCCAGGTTGATGTGGTGCCACGAATTGAAGTTGAAGTCAAAGGTAGACCGACAGAATCTCTTTTGGATCGATGTGGCTCAATGAAGAAGTTGGTACACGTAACAGCGCGTGTATTTCGATTCATACGCAGAACAAAAGACAAGATTCATTTCGATTCCGTGTGCATTTCGGAAGAAGAATACTTGAATGCACAAGCATTTTGGATAAAATATCATTAGCGTCAGTTCTTTGCCAAAGAAATTAATATTGACACACAACCGAATGAAAATTGTGAAGTGAAGACTAAGCATTTGAACGTCGGACGTGATTCATCAATCGTAAAATTGACACCGTTTGTCGATGGAGATGGAATTATGAGAGTCGGAGGTCGAATCAAGCGTTCGTTGATGCCTTTTGATACAGTGCATCCGATTATTTTGCATCACACGTGTCGATTCACTCATCTATTAGCCTTGGAAGCACACATGGAAACGTCGCATGGAGGTAATCAATTGTGCATGCAGTACATTCGTCAACGGTTTTGGATTGTCAACGTTCGTAAAGCCATAAAGCGTGTCACACTCAAGTGTGTGCCATGTTTTCGTCAACGCAAGGAGACTGCTACTTAACTCATGGGAAGTTTACCTGAAGCCAGAGTCACGTCTGGGTTTGCATTCGAATCGGTTGGAATCGATTACTGTGGTCCGGTGACAGTTAAAGAGAGATTGGGTAGAGGAAAGAAAGCGTACAAAGCGTACATCGCTGTATTTGTGTGCATGAAAACGAAAGCAGTGCATCTTGATTTGGTCACAGATTTGACAACAGATGCATTCATGGCTTGTTTGTCGCGTCTAATTTCGTTGCGCGGGAGCGTCCGTGAAATCTTCAGCGACAACGCTACCACATTCCACGGGGCATCAAATGAGATGAAGTTGGTATTTGAACACTGGGAGCAAGTGGCTGATGAATGCCTTCGTCTTAAGCGCATTCGATGGAATTTTATCGCACCATTATCGCCGAATCAAGGAGGATTGTGGGAACGAGCCGTAAGAAGTGCAAAGAATCACTTGCGTCGTGTTATTGACACGCAGATATTGACTTTCGAAGAATTTGCCACCGTTTTAGCATCAGTTGCAGCTTGCATGAATAGTCGCCCACTGATTGCTCTTGATGATGACCCAACAGCATGCGAAGCGCTCACACCAGCTCATTTGGTCGTTGGTCGCCGATTGATTGGCCCAATACAATTTGATTACACATCGATACCGGACAACAGATTGACGCGTTGGCGTTTGATTCAAAAGATTGCTCAAGAATTTTGGTCACGCTGGCATAGTAAATATGTAGCGCAGCAAATCGAAACATCGAAATGGAATCAGAAGAAGGAAAACATCGAAGTTGGAGACATTGTGCTCGTCAATCATGACAACTTACCGCCTACTCACTGGCCGCTGGCACGAGTAATTACAACATTCCCAAGAGATGATGGATGTGTGAGAAATGTTGAAGTGAAGCTTGGATCGTCCACATTCAAACGAGGAATTAACAAAATTGCACGCTTGCCAATCAACGATGAATGATATATTTAGTTTTAATTCATTGTACAAACCATTTCACTTTTCATATTGTTACTTTGGCTTGCTGCTTCTCAGCTTGTCTGTTCTCATTCTAAATTATTGTTGTTCATTTAAATAAATTTAGTTTCGCTCCGCAGCGGGGGCAGTATGTTCGGGTACGAACACTTTATAAACGTTCAAATATTATACAACCCTGAGATTGTCACATCGCATCGCACAACACAGCGAGGTGACATTTCTCTGCCGCCTTTTTCATTATGTTCAATAAAACCAATCAGTTAACTAAAAGCAATCCGACCGGCCGGTCAGAGTTTTCTTGTTTACTTTAAGTTCATTCTTTCAGTACTCAAACACCGAGTTGGAAGAGGATGGATTTTACTACGAAATCGGAGACTTGTGTGAAACTACAAAGAATACAGATCTAGAATCAATCACAAACCAAATTGTTGGAACAGAATTCTTAAATGATTTGTCAATCGATATGTTCATTATAAATTTGGTGAACGCAAACAGAACCATACCATTCGACATGCATCCAGTCTGCTATGGACAAAAACAAGAGCGATACAAACGACTTCTAGCCGAACGAGACGATCTGCAAATAATATACAGCGGTCAGGCCAGCTTTCTTGGCCATTACACCACAGTTCACTATACAGTCTACACGGGGAGGGCAATCATGGCAAAAGATTGGACGTATATCAACGAAACATCCTCACTCGCCTGTACCCCGGAGCACATTATCAATTCATCGAACCGGCAACGTTGCAACCAGATGGATGTTCCTGTGGCATTTTCTCGATTGCATACGCCACAACCATCATTTTAGGACACAACCCTGCAACATACCATCTAAAAATCAAACAGCACGAAACAGATAATTTAAAAAAGACTAGCGAACTACGAAACCACATCAAAAGAATATACGAAACAAATGAACTACAGCTGTTTCCACAATAAATAATACACACATTTTTATTTTTGTCTAAGTGTTTGGATACTTGTTAAAAAAAATTCCGTACATTCCTTCCATATGTATTGAAATGATGATACCTTTCTGTGATGTTTACACTTATTTATTGTAAATTCATTTTGTTCTTTGTTAAAGCCATCCACGAGTTGGCGACTTAATATTTTTATCATTGAAATCAAATTTGAATTATTTATCAAATAGCATCAAATGCTCTAGTTACGTTTCAAATCATAGTCCATGTCAACTCAATGCACTCTGCAATCAACATGGATCTGCCTTTACAGACGTAAAATTTCTCGTCAATTTATCTACCGGTGTGCAAAGCACAAAAAATATATTATACGAAAGTGCAACGCACAGTAAATTTGGTTTGCATTGGCCTATATTATTTATTCGGGTCATGTTTATGTAATGTTTTAGGTTTTGTCAATTTAACATATTTGTTTCCGCATGTATTACATATTTAAGTCAACCAAAATATTAATTAAAGGTTCAGTTCATTATTGAAAGCCAACCGATTCGTTTTATTACTGTTACTTTGCCAGTTTGGCTATTGAGCATTTCATTTGGTCCTTCGACTTTTTATCACGGTACCTACGCCGAACAATTTAGTGCTCCAGCCAGCCGAACAGTTTTAGTGCTCCAGCCAGCAAAAAACAATTTAAG